TTGCAAACAAACCATACGAATCTTATTGTGGCTAGCTGGTCCAGTGGCTAACGCGACGGTCTGGAGTTTTGAGACTCTGACCGCGGGTTCAAATCCCGCCCGTGGTATCGTTTAAAGATCCTAGACTTCACCTTACGAAAGCAGACAAAGCAAATGCGATAGTAGTTATGGACAAAGTAGATTATAGGGGAAAAATAGGAAAAATAACAGTATTAGAAAACAAGGGAACTGACGTGCCCCTTAAGGGACAATGTGAGCAGGACAGAACTTAGGAACAGACTGAGGTACAGTGAGTAGGTGCCAAGGGACACAGGTGATTGAACCCGGCAAGTCAGAAATCGGTGAACCCGGGAGATAAGAGAGGCTGGGCCAGGAGCTATGAATCAACCCCTGCGAGCACAAGGTGAGCTCACACAGAAGTGTAACCCCTCTCTCCGCGAGCGTACACGCGCCCTTTCCACCCCCTGCACACGCACGCACGTTCACGCACCTACACACATGTACATCAGTTCAAATGTACACGTGAACCTGAATACACGTACGCGCTCATCCTCTCTCTCTCTCTCTCTCTCTCTCTCTCTCTCACACACACACACACACACACACACACACACACAAAAGGACGGTTTAATAACCTAGCAATTAGCAGCAACATCCGACCGGGTTACATTTTCGGAAAATCTGGTGTGTACACAGCAGGCGGCAGTATAAAGGTCACATTACCCTGGTGAGCGGAAAACATTAACTGCCCCATAATCACCTGGACTGAAAATCACACCAGCGTCCATATGAATTCACATACATTTGTAATTGCATATTAAATGTTGCAGCATGAATCAAATATAATATTTGGGGGAAATTAGTAAGAATATTTATACTTATATATATATATATATATATATATATATATATATATATATATATATATATATATATATAATAATATAATAGGATGGGGTCCACCTCTGGTGTAAATTGTGGGACCCATAGCCTCGAGAAGTGGATAAAAAGGCTTCAAGGAAAAATATTTTGGATTTCTTCCTGAAGCCGTTTGAATATTCCACTTCCCCTACCACCCCATCTTTTCATATTTATTTTTTTTACTAATAGGAATATTTTATTACATAATACGGTACAGAAATTTTAATATATATATATATATATATATATATATATATATAATATATATATATATAATATATATATATATATATATATATATATATATATATATTGTGTAAATTTTCGCTTGCCTTATTCGGCAAGAAGAGCGTTGCTATGTTAACAGGTTCCCCTGATAGCATAGTCATCTGTCAGTTTCTTCTAGAGATTCTCTCATTAACAACAGTGCTTTAAATCACTATGGCCCTGTAAACCAAGGCACCTCCCTTGATGAGTCCTTTCCTTACTGTGCCAAAGGTGATGTACAAGTTATTACTGTGACTACAGCATAGTGAGATAGCTCTTAGTCACGACGAAGCTAAAAAATTCTTTGGATACGTTGGCGTCATTGACGGTTGTATATGTATGCTCTCTTGAAATATTGACTGTTACTAATACTAACTAAATTCCTCTAATTTAATCCACGTTTTATTGTATATTTCAGTGCTCTTAATATTTATTTCTCATTTTTTTTACACCATTTTTCCTTACGAATCTTTTTTTTTCTTCGTCTTTATTGTTTATTATTATTCTTTTGAGACCTTTTTCTTGGCAAATTTGATATGTTCTTGGTTTTAATATTTTCGTTATTTTACCCCATTTAGCTGGCCATTTGAGTATTCGACATTGGTAAAATGTGTGTATTGGGCAAGTAAGAGTGCTGGCAGACGGATGCCTCCAGCCAGCGCTATGCTGCAAAGTTTCCACGAGGCTGGAATTGCTTTCTCAACTTTACTGGAGCTGTGTCATACTGATGTATCACCAGGCACTGTAGCCTTGTGTGGGGGGATGTATCACCAGGCACTGTAGCCTGATGTGGGGCTGCTGTGTGGGGAATGTATCGCCAGGCACTGTAGCCTGGTGTGGGGATGTATCACCAGGTACTGTAGCCTGGTGTGGGGCTGCTGTGTTGGGATATATCACTGTGGTTGATATACAGGCTGCCAGGCACTGATGTATCGCCAGGCACTAACCTTTTTTCCTCTCCTCCGCTTTTCAAATCACTTGTGCTCTCTCGGTTAGAGTATTGTTGTGTGTTGACGGCTCCGTTCAGGACAGTAGAGATATCATAGCTGGAATATGTAGATATCATTTGTGGCTCTCATAGAGCCCATAAAGCAGAGAGACGGCAGTAACAGCCTGGTTAATTCGACAAGCACCAGAAAAGCCTGGCCCTGGAGCAGGCTGCGAGAGTAGGAAAACTCTCGAAAGCCTTAAAAGGTAAAGGTATGGTAGTGTGTATATTGGGGGTCTGACTTTAAAGTATTGTCCATATATATTGTCAGGTGTATCTCTTTTGGGTTCCAGAGAGCACATATTTAACTTCATAACTGCCCGGGCCAGTGGTATTACTAACCTGTTTTTCCATTGTGTGTAGGACGTAATGTGTGTCTGATATTTTTTATGGTCTTAATGACTATTCGTACAGAGTTTTGACACAGGTGTTCGCTTCACGGGAAGAGCTCATTCACTTACGTACACGATGCCGTTTTCCGTTTGAATGTACGCATAAATGAGCGTAATTTCCCGAGCGCACACCTGTTCCACATTTTTTCAGTTTTTTATTTTTTATCATTTTCAGCTTTTGCAGTTGTTAGTTATTTTATGTGATTGAGATGGCTTATATTGTTCTCACTGCCAGCTGCAGTAGTTAACGTGGAACGCCTTCTGGAAATCATTACATACCTTGACTTTATCTGTATTTTACCTATATACTGTTGCATGAATCATCGACTACGCGACCCAGTCCCATATCAAACTGGTGAAATGATTAATCAGGTTGTTGGTGTTTTCTTCGCGCAGTCCAACGTAGGCACCACAGTCCGGTTGATCAGGTTGTCAATGTGAAAGCTTTTCCACGCTCACGTACAACGTTCAACCCTTTCACAGATTAATTCAATCTTCGCAGATATTTCACTCTTTCAGGAAGTCAGTGTCACCATTTTATTTAGGGGTAGGGATTTTTTTTTTTTTTTTTTTTTTTTTTTTTTTTTTTTGGTGGGGAGGGGGACAAAAGAGTTTTTGTGCAGGTATAGTCGGAGTTTTATGGATTCTTTAAATACATTTTGTAAAGGTTCAGGCGCTAAGGTAGACATGATAATGGATCGAGTTAACAGTATCTAGAATCTTGGTCTCTGTACCAGACTCTGAACTTTGGTGTGGTAGTTGATTGTGGCAAGGGAAATTAATGTAATTACCGACTCCACTCCTGCCTCTCCTCGCACACCACCAGCCATCCCCTCTGTCCCTCCCTCAATAGCAATAGTAACTCCAACTCTGCTGAAACGAAATGTTTTTGAAGTTCTCTAGCTGATGAACCCTTAATGAAATACTTGACAATATCCTCGCAGCCCTACTGAGGTTTCTGAGCTCGGGCTGAAAAAAATTCAGTACGTAATTTTGTAGTGTCTGGTAATACTGTACATTGTTTACCATTAAAAGACAGAAAATCTTTTTAAATTTAGTAATTTATACAAGAGAAGAGGTTACTAGCCTTTTGCTCCCGGTATTTTAGTCGCCTCTTACGACACGCGTGGAAAATCTTGTCTATGATATATAAAACTATTGTAACATATTAATGTTTTAGCATTATCATGTTATTGGTATGAATTATGAGTCATACATTTATTAAGTCGTGTCAAACTTCACTTTGCTGTATTTGGCTTACTTACTAAATTGTCTGAATTCAGATATCTTCTTTCACTGTGAAATGTAAGTTTACTCTCTAGTTTGATCTGCTTAATTTGATAATGTAAAATTTTGCTGTAAAGTTTATGAATAAAGATGAGTGAATACTACTAGTTAAAATGTAACCTTGAACTGGTCGCAGTCTGATTGGAGCTTGTTGGAGGAACAGTTGTAATTATTGCTCTCTTGGTGTAAGTTACCTGCTGTGTGTGTGTGTGTGTGTGTGTGTGTGTGTGTGTGTGTGTGTGTGTGTGTGTGTGTGTGTGTGTGTGTGTGTGTGTGTGTGTGTGTGTGTGTGAAGGGGGGGAGGCTAACCTGCTGGTAACTTGAAGGATTTAAGTTCAAAGTTCTTATACATGTTCATACTTTGAAAAGAGCGTATCATCATGCGTTGTGTGGGAAGACGTGAGTTTATTCTGTCACAGTTTGTCAGGTTTTGCTCCACGAATGTATTTGAATTTTGTTAAGGAGTTTTATTTCAACCATGTTGATGATTATACCGGAAAAATCTAGATTTTTTAAATTTTGTGATCATTGGTGGGAATTAAATGCTAAACCTCATTTTACATAGAGAGACCGAAATCTATTTAGGAATCACTATTATTAAATTGGTTATATTTCATTAAAAAAATTGTGCACCTGGACAGGTATCTTCACCAGGTGCCAGATCAGCCAGGCTGTGATGGATATGTGGGGCAGCAGGTCTCCAACAGCAACGGTCTGGTTGACCAGGCTAGCACAAGACGAGCCTGGCTCATGGCCGGGCCCCGGGAATAGCAAGATTCTCGAAACTCATCAAAGGTATATCTACTGTATAGCTACTGTTTTGAGTCGCTTTCTTTTACAAGGTCAGGGCGAGGTTCCTGCTTGTGGTCGTTTACTTATTTTGTTTGATACTTTAAAAATCTTTGTGTAAATAAGGCGTTATGTGAGCTCCAACTCTAGTTAGCTAAGGGACATTCCCAGTCCTATGACCCCGACCTATGAAGGCAAACAAGTATCAAATCTTTTATATTTTGTACAGTTTTCCAAGGAAACAGAAAAATTGATAAAATTAGTATAGATTATGGTATTTATTTGGCTACTTTTTGCATTATTAATATAAAATGCTTTGAAAATGTGTTGGGTGGTAGAATAAAGTAGAATCGTCGTCAGTGGTATCCCCCGTGTCCGTAGCCCTTGTTAAAGAAGGTGATGGCGGGGCCATAATGTTTTGGATGCTGAGCCTTGCCATAATAGCTGACCTTGGCCACGTAGCCTCTGTAGTGGTCAGCTGTGTAGTCCACCTGCGGCAGAAGAATTATAGCATCAGATTATAAAATTTTATCTTATGGATGGTGTAAATTGTAAAAGAGTAGGTGAACTGATTGTAAATAGTTTGAAGAGTGGAACGTACCCTTTGTTTGCGACCGTCGGGGAGGTCGACGGTGTAGGAACCGTACACAGCTTTACCGTCGGACTTTTCGTGCTGACCGAAGTTGGTGCCCTTGTAGCCGTCATGTACACTGTAGTCGTAGTAGTAGGGCAGCGGCTCCTAAGGGCGCAAAGAAGTTTATTTCGTAAAAAAAAAAAATACTAGATTTTCATGGACTTAATCAAGTTTGAACAACAAAAAGGCACAGTACCCTGACTGGAACAACACAGCCCACACAGGAGAGAGGAGCTTACGACGACGTTTCGGCCCGTCTTGGATCATTTACAAAGTCATTGGTCCAAGTTGAACCGAAACGTCGTCGTAAGCTCCTCTCTCCTATGTGCGAGTTATTTATGTATTAGCCAAGTTTGCATTACCTAAATAATAATAAAGATTTGTACACTGACCGAAGAATAAACTGGTTCATAACCGCCTGGATTGGCCAGGGTCACGCCTGTCAGAGAGACGGCAACCACTACCACAACAACCAGCACCTGCAGGTACAAGAATGCGAAAGAATCACTGATCCATTTGGATTTTAGAGCACATTTTTAATGAAAACTTCTCCAACTCTTTTACAATTCCTTTTACAAAATATTTAACCGGAGTAAAATTTGTTGTCGTTCAGACCTGACGAAGCATTGTCTTATATTTGGTAATTCTTTGCAGGAGTCGACTTCGGGAGTGAATGATGAAGTGCATGACAGTTGCTTCTTATAAACCCCTCCCCCCCCCTATAACCCCCTTGGATTACCCCCTCTTTTCCTGAACATTCCCCCTTGATAATTTTTTGGTAAACCCTTTTCTTTAATATATCTTTGGGGGGTTTAACCCCGTAGAACTCTTCCCGTGTTACCCCTCTTCCCTGTTAAAAACCCCTCCTTGTAGCTCTTTCCCCTAATACCCTTCCCCGGTACCCCTTTCTTGTGGTCAGCTTTCCCCGCGGAGAAAATTTCCCCGTATAACTTTCTTGTGTAATTTAAAGTGATAAAATTTTCCCCTGATACACCCTTTCCCCCGTGAAATCCCCCCTTTCCCCGAAAACCCCCCCTCTTACCCGGTCCCCTTTTCGTGTCCCCCTTTCCCCCCTTGTAACCCTTTCCCCGGGATACACCCCCCCTTCCCGGGACATTTCTAAAAAAAAACCCCTTTTCCCCGATTAAAAACTTTCCCCTGAAACAAAACTTCCCCCGTGAACACCCCTTGCCCCGGAAAACTTCCCACAGTCCCCCCCCGTTTAATTTTTCCCGTGTACAGTAACCAAACCCCCCGTAACCCCTTTTCCCCCTTGTTTCCCATTCCCCTGATACACCTTTCCCCCCTAAATTTTCCCCGGATAACCCTTTCCTACCCCGGTTCATCCCCCGTGAACACCCCCCCCCAAACACCCCCCGTCGGTGAAAGAACCTTTCCCGGGGTTTTAACCCCTTTTCCCGTGTTTGAAACCTTCTCCCCTTTTCAACCTTTCTGATAACCCCCTTATGTGATCAACCCCTCCCCATTATATATTTCCCCCCCGGATCCCCCTCCGTGATAACTCCATTCCTTATAACCCTTCCCGGTTCCCCCTTCCCGTTGATACACCCCTCTTCCCCGTGATGCACCCTCTTCCCCCGTGATCACCCCTCTTCCCCCTGATCCCCCCTTCTTCCCCCGTGATACACCCTCTTCCCCCGTGATACACCCCTCTTCCTGTAAGAGATGCTCCTTTCCCCAAGTTCTTTTCCAGAGCTTTAATATGTCCTTTCTAAATCTGATTTTCTGTAATTGAATCATTGTTATGAGTTCTGCCTTGGTAATATATTTTCAGCAGTCTGTTCATATCCTTTTTATTTATTTAATATGTCTACTTTTAAATTATATCCCCTTTCATTCTGTTATTTTCTGAAGAGGTTCAGTGCTCTTAATACGTCTCTGTAGAAACCTTTCTGATACTTTATCATCCTTCTGTGTTTTCTAACACATTTATATTCAGTATTAATTAAGAATACTAGGACAGCAGCTTACATAGTTTAGAATTATGCAATAATCGCGAATTAGCTATACAAGATGCAAAACATCCACGGGGGAACTGAATGATAGCTCTGGGCCTTTTGTGTTGCAATGCTGCAGATAAGAGGAGGAAGTCCAAGCAAATTCGTTCAGGGGAACGCATTTGACTCTAGCAATATACGTTCCCCTGAACGAATTTGCTTGGACATCTTCTTTTCCGCAGCATTGCAAGATCTTGATGTGCTGATCACAACACGAAAGGCCTAGAGCTATCATTCAGTTCCCTCTGTGGTTATTTTGCATAGCGTAGAATCTAGATGAGCCGTGGTAACGCCAGAGTTACTTTCACTTAATGATTTAAATCCTAGCACTCTGTTAGCTTTATTGTGAACATTTGTCCACTCTTGCCATAGCTTCAGATTTCTGCTAACCATAATTACTAAACTTTTTTTCTCATCTGATTTGCTTAAGTTGTAGTTTATTTGGCTAATTGGTTCCTTAGTTGCTTTTTCCCTCTATAAGTAGCGATTTCAATTTGGTCACACTGAACTTTCACTTTCCTGCCCACAACGTTAAGTTATCCAGATAATTCATTCGGAACCTCTCAGGTGTCATCGAAATTCATTTGTCTGCTTATTTGTGCATCAGATTTAAGGCGCAATAGATATATTTTTTTTTATCGTGGTCATTAATGAAAACTGTGACAAACAGATGGCCCAGCATCGACCTCAGTAGAACGCTACATGTAACTTTTTTTCCATTCTGGGTTCACCCCTTGTACACATTGTCTTTCTATCAGTCATGTCCCGATTCAGTGAAGTAGTTCTCCAATACAGTTTGCTGCCATATTTGTTTTTTTGTTTGGTGTGTGTGGAAGTGTCAAAGACATTAGCGAAGTTCAAATAAAAGGCTGTTATTCATATCCATTTTTCACCACCTGAAATTCCCTAAAGAAAAATCCAGTAAATCTGTAAGGTAAGAACGACTTGTGAAGCAGTGTTGACTCATTGATCAAAGCGTGCTCACCCAGGTGACTTTCCATTGCATCTCCTATTAATGATACCATTAGTTGCCTGCTATTGAGATCATGTTGATGCTAATTCCATGAGTACCTGACCCCATTTTGTAAATGGGTACCAAATTCACGATCTTCCAAATGTCCGATGCAACACCAATTTATCACTGATGGATCCGCTTCAGTGAATCCTATAAACGTGGCTTGTAATAATAACTTTTACGGTATCAGTTTCTAACATGATTTGAAATCGTGTTGAGAAGTCTTAAAAGTATTTACATGAAGAATTGGAAACCATTAAATCGTAAGGAATGCCGCGGGCTTGCAGACTTGCAAGTCATGATCGGAAATCACTTTTTCTCGGCCGCTGTATATATATATTTTTTTTCGTGAATGCAAAAGTTCAATTGTTGCGAAGAATTTATTGGAGTTTTTTTTTTTTTTGTCTATTGTTTTCCATAAAAGTTGGTATTGCCTTGAAAGGTTGTTGTTTTTTGCGTTTTCTGTCTATTGTTTTCCATAAAAGTTGGTATTGCCTTGAAAGGTTGTTGTTTTTTGCGTTTTCTGTCTATTGTTTTCAAAAAGTTGGTATTGCCTTGAAAGGTTGTTGTTTTTTGCGTTTTCTGTCTATTGTTTTCCATAAAAGTTGGTATTGCCTTGAAAGGTTGTTGTTTTTTGCGTTTTATGGGTATTTATTTATTTTTTTTTTGACAAATGATGTATATATGTTTCTGTTTAATGATTTTAGGTTTTCATTGAAGTTAAAAGCACAAAGTTAGAGCACAATAACATACACATTAATTGGTAGTAAGAGCAAACGTAATAATATGCCAACATTAGTGTCATGACCAACGAGTAACGCCACTATAGGGTAGCGATAATCTCTTAAGTTTTTCGCTCTATTTTGTGGCTAAAATTTATTTTATACTCGTATCTAGAGTGTATTTCCTCAAGTTTTCCATAGTCAGGAACTGAACTTCTCCAGGCCGAGGGACTGACAACCTCAAATTCTACGACTTCAAGGGTGATGGACTGATTACATCGTCTTCACATCTCTACTGTTCCTGCCTACTTTCTGTATTCGACTGAAGAAGCCTACTGTGTAGGCGAAACGTTTCGGAATAAAGTTGTCTAACTGTTGCATATGTGTCTTACCTAACAACCTGTCGGTATTGTATACCATTTTGATGTTCATCTTGTCAGACACTGCAACACATGGCATCTTGGTACAGAAAACACATTGGACAAGCTTTTCAAGTGAGAAGTGTTGGATCTGAGAGGGACATGACCTCTCAGTGGCTACATTCTCACTACTACTACTACTACTACTCTGCACCTCTCCTTCCGACAGTATTTAAGTCTCCGCACTGTCGCTTGATCTTCAGATAGTTCCTGACTATGGAACTGAACTTCTCCAGGCCGAGGGACTGACAACCTCAAATTCTACGACTTCAAGGGTGATGGACTGATTACATCGTCTTCACATCTCTACTGTTCCTGCCTACTTTATTCCGAAACGTTTCGGAATAAAGTTGTCTAACTGTTGCATATGTGTCTTACCTAACAATCTGTCGGTATTGTATACCATTTTGATGTTCATAAACAAAGATATACACCACAGCACCGTATCATCCTTTGCGGATGATACTAGGATCTGCATGAGGCTGTCATCTGCTGAGGACGCGGTTAACCTCCAAGAAGATATAAACGAAGTTTTCCAGTGGGCAACGGTAAACAATATGATGTTCAATGAGGACAAATTCCAACTACTCCGTCATGGAAAACTGGAGGAGATAATAACTAGAACAGAGTATACTACTGACTCCGGCCATACAATAGAGCGGAAAAATAATGTAAGGGACCTGGGAGTAGTAATGTCTGAGGATCTCACTTTCAAGGATCACAACAGTGCCACGATCGCACGTACAAAGAAAATGATAGGATGAATAATGAGAACTTTCAAAACGAGAGATGCCAAGCCCATGATCCTTTTCAAATCACTTGTTCTCTCTAGGCTAGAATACTGCTGTACATTAACATCTCCATTCAAAGCTGGTGAAATCGCAGATCTAGAGAGTGTACAGAGATCCTTTACTGCACGTATAAGTTCTGTCAAGCACCTTAACTACTGGGAACGCTTGGAAGCACTTGACTTGTACTCGTTGGAACGCAGGAGGGAGAGATATATCATAATCTACACTTGGAAAATCTTGGAAGGAATGGTCCCAAATCTGCACACAGAAATCACTCCCTACGAAAGTAAAAGACTGGGCAGGCGATGCAAAATGCCCCCAATAAAAAGTAGGGGCGCCATAAGTGTCCGGGGCCCAAGACTGTTCAACAGCCTCCCATCAAGCATTAGGGGAATTGTCAATAAACCCCTGGCTGCCTTCAAGAGAGAGCTGGACAGATACCTAAAGTCAGTGCCGGATCAGCCGGGCTGTGGCTCGTACGTTGGACTGCGTGCGGCCAGCAGTAACAGCCTAGTTGATCAGGCCCTGATAACCTCCAGATAACCTCCAGGTAACCATTATTATGATCGCTTGGTTTTATTAGTTCCTTATCCAGTAATATTTACTATCACCCTGGAGAAAGTCCGTAAAATTGCGCCCCACGTATCCTTGCTTGACGTAGGTGATTAAAATGCATAGAACAATGAACTGGTTACCCCTTATTTCTGCATGAAAGGACGAACAAGGAAAAATAATTTTATATTTTTTTTGTGTACGGGTAAGTTCTGATAAAAAAAAAGTTTAATGTTATGAATGAGGGAGACCTATTAAATGAGAGATGCTGGGTATGTGAGAGAATATATTTTTTTTTTTTTTTTTGGTGAATGTGGGTCTTGGTGAAGGTTGTATGATGGAGTGTTGCAAGGTTTTTGAGAAATAGTGGAAAGTAGCTGTTTACCAATAGATGTAAAATGGGAAATGTGTGAGTGTGAAGCTTGAAATATTGTATGTTGTAGTGAGAATGTTCAAAGAACAATTGTTTTTTAACTATAGACTGGAAAAGCAAGTGCTTTCTTAAAGAAGTGATGCCAAACCAGTGATATTCTTGAAGGCATTACTATTCTTTAGAATGCAATGTTGCTGTACTCTAGTAGTCTCATTTTTCTCAGACCACATTCTTGAAGTGGAGATTGTGTACAGAACTTTCACTGTCTATACCTATTTGTTAATACACCGTAATTATTATTAATACGAAAATTCAATCGAACTGTATAGAGCGCAAACGAGAAAGTTGTATCATAATTTTCACCAGGAAAATATTAGAGATATTCGTTCAAAATCTTGCCATTTACAAAGTTAACCGTTCTTTAGCTCTCATTTCAAGAAATGATTTGAGCACTGCAGTAATCTACTAAGCCTGTCTCTTGCCCGTAGGGACCTCGCAGAACATTAAGAGAGTTTGGTTTATTTACAATTTAAAGCGGTTTCTAAATGAAGCAGACTAACGACATGTGATAGCATTTTTTTTGTTTTGTTAGTGATAGTAGCTTTAATGTTAGTTTTACCCAGGATGTTTTTAGGTGTGTGTTGTACTATTATTGCCAAAAGTGTCGAGTGGTCTACCAGGTCAGAGCGCTCTTCAAATTTCAAAACATTTCATCTCAGGTAGTGTTTCTTAAGTAAATAAATGTCGTGGGAGTTCGTGAGGAGATATTGGAGTAAGAAATACACACGTAGGATGTCTTAGAGGCGTATAATTAAGAGTGTCTTGAGGAGAACCCAGGCCTTGCCTTGTCGAGTTTATGCCTAGCGTGGAACTGAGTGACTGAGATCGCGGCTTCTGGCCTACGGCTCGCTTGTGAGGATCTCGTGACGTCACAGCTAGCAAGGGAGCCTATCTATAAAGTAGCTGGGATTATCTAAGTATACTGCACAAGTACACTGTAACACTACTGATATAAGCGCTACATTTATTCAAGTATGTGTGTGTGTGTGTAAGTATATATATATATATATAATATAATATATATATATATAATATATATATATATATGTGTGTGTAAATTAATTAATTAATTAATTTTTGTACCAAAAGAACCTTAGAAAACTTACCTAACCATATTATAACAAGCGCAGTATAATTTAGCCTAATTTAACTAAATATATTTTAGATAAATTTGTAATAATTTAATTAACACAATGAAATATATTTTTTTCGTTAGGTTCAGATTTTTTTTTTTCGAAATTATTGCATACACGAATTTTCACTTGCCTTATTCGGCAAGAAGAGCGTTGCTGTTTAAGCCAGAATCGCAAGTTTTAGCTTTGTATATATGCATATTCAGTCGCTCAGTTTTTCAACATATTTATATGGAGTTAAGTATTTTTGTTTTTGCCATAACCCCACGAAAATCAGTGTATACATCTCATCAACAAGTAAGATAGCAGGTGAACATTATTAACTGTTACTCTCCTAAATATACTTTCTACTTCACTGTTTCGTAATAGGTCGTATTCCTTGTGCTGCTTTTGCCAAGGTCAGGCCTGGGACCGGCAGCGGGGGCGATTATCACCGGAACCATGAATAAATAACACAGAAGCAGATACTGGAGCACCACAGATTGTATGCTGTAAAGAGTAGACTTCATTTCTTGATCGTGTTATTCTGCTGCGTAATTATCCAAGTCACGTCTGGCGTGTGTGTCTACCCTTGCTACATATTAATTAAAAAATAATAAACGCGTATAATCTCATGAACTTCAAAGCTTTGTTATAACATCTGATAACTAATGAAATTTGCCAATAGCGGGATTTTAATGAAAGCCCTCCCTCAATTAAATGTCCATTTAGTACACAGCCGTGCCTGCCCTCCCCCTCTCCGTGTATAAGGTGATCATTGTTTAATTATGTGAAGTGTTGCGTGTTGGTAATTTTAATGAAGTGGTAGCTAATACACAGGTTGGTGCCGGCTCAGGCTCTCTTTTCCACTTTTAGTATACTAATGAAGTGGGAGTTAATAAATAGGTTGGTTCCGGCTCTGGCTCACTCTTCCACTTTTAGTGTACTACCGTACTGATGTTCTAAGTTATGACTGATAAATTGATGGCATTACCAAACTTGTACATGTTTACACTTAAAAATACAGATGCATGCAAAGGTGTTTATAAATATTTATAGGCATGTGAATGGTTAGAAAAATGGACAGAGAATCGAATAGAGGTCCTGTGGGTAGCCTGCCACATAAGTTTCCTCGTCAGTTTTTATGTTCTTTCATTGGTAGACTTTCATTACGAATTATCCTGATTTTATAAATGTACATGAACATTTATGTTTAAGGCTTATTTGATGATGTGAGGGTCTTAATGCAACAATTCACCTGGACAGTAATATGGTTAAGACACACACATGCACTTCAATGAATTCCTATTGTTGTATAGGTCTGAGCGAAGCTCAGACAACACTATTGTCCACAAAGGTTTGTTAAGTTATACCATGAATTAAGGAAAGATCCTAGACCTCACCTTACGAAACAGACAAAGCAAATGCGATAGGAACTATGGACAAAGTAGATTATGGTTAAAAAATGAACATGTTAGAAGACGGGGGAACTTACGTGCCTCTTAAGTCAGAAACAAATATAACTGGTAAGAGAAGTTTAACAACGTATATAGTGAGTAGTGCTTAGATGAATAGTGGCATGCTAGCCAGGCCATATTGTCTCTAGTATTCAAGTAATTTTCTGGAAAAAGGTTCAGCTAAGCTGTAGAAATTGTTGTTCTATTGTTGGAGATACTCATGAGTGCCGATTCAGGTATTCTTCTTTTCTGGGTATCGTCTTTAGTAACAAGTATAAATTAAGTGTTATAGGTATTACGTTGTATTACACAGGCGTTGTTAAGGTTGTCTGTTCTGCTGGCATATTGTTGTTTGGAGATGTATTTGTGGAGTTTTCTTTATATCTTACGTGAAGGTGAAGACAGGTGGCTGTGCTGAGTAAGCATTCGGAGACTTGTTTTTCAACAAAGTTGTTGGGGAGGACTACCTATCGCTTGTCATTGGCCACAAGTTTATTGGGCAAGTTCATGGCGTAAGCAAGTCGTCTGCAATCCCTGATGAAGATTGCTCATGGAGAGAGCATTGTTCAAGGAATTCATTACTGCTGATCCTGATAGATCTTTGGAAAAAAAATATCTGACAACACCACATTTAATTTTGGTGTCGTGGTGTGAATAGTAATGGAAAAAAATGGTGTTGGATGGTAAGTTTACGATAGACTTTGACTCGAATTTCACTGCCAGACTTACAGAGCAAAGCATCAGCGTAAGGGAGTGTCACCGGTCTTCTCTTTCGAGTGTAAATTAAATGAATCGTTCGACCTGGTTAAGTTTGTGCTGGAGAGCTGAGTCTTCAAATCTTCCTTACGTAATTCTGAGTATCCAATTTCGAGTAGTAATATATGGTGTGTGGTGTTTAAGTGAATCCCAGGAGGAAGTGATTCATTTATTCCTATGAAGCAAATTCCGGAGAAAGAACACTGCTATCAGGCAGACAGTCTTGGACTTGTGTTATCCGCTCAACTCGCATCATTATGACAAGCCTCAAGTACTTCAGTATTTCAACCTGGGACTTAAAAAACACTGGAGGAATTTATTGTTCTAAGTATTTTATTATTATGATCGTCGCAATTATTATTTTAGATATTTTAACTTTTCTATTTTATTCTATTTAGAGTAATACTATAAATGCCATTATATTTATAAGTAGAGGTATGGTATTTCCTCAAATTATACCTGTCATCAGTTACTTGCATCTCTCTCTCAAACGAAATATACATTTTTTTATGAAAATGTTTATAGTTCAAAGATACACTTATATTCAGCATTTACACTACATTCACACTGAAGCAATATACTGTCTTGACAACGTTATTAATGTCTAGTTCTCAGTGGTAGCCTCCATGTCCGTAGCCTTTGTTGAAGAATGTGATGGCGGGGCCGTAGTGTTTAGGGTGCTGTGCCTTGCCGTAGTAGCTGACCTTGGCCACGTAGCCTCGGTAGTGGTCAGCTGTGTAGTCCACCTGTGGACACAGACAAGTTTTATCACGTGACACGCAAAAATTATTTTATAAATGTTATTTACAGTTTAACAGTCCTTGAACTGAATGTGGATAGTTTGAGGTAGCGGAACGTACTCTTTGTTTGCGACCGTCGGGGAGATCGACAGTGTAGGAACCGTACACATTTTTACCATCGGACTTTTCGTGCTGCCCGAAGTTCGTGCCCTTGTAGCCGTCATGCACATTGTAGTCGTAGTAGTATGGCAGAGGTTCCTGGTGCGAAAAATATCAGACATTGGATTTTATTGCACAATATTGCGAATTTTCTGGTGTTTAGACATGTTTTTAAATTTCTCTGGCTTAAATAAGTGCTCTCTCATTTACAATTTTAATTCTTTGGATTTTAAATTAAAGCCTGAAGACTAAACACAACTTACATAACTCTGCTTCTGTAAAATACAAAGAGATAATCAGCTAATCGTACATCAAAGAGAAAGTTCAGAGCACTTATACAGATTTGTACCTGAGTTAACGCTGAAGAAATGTAAAGTAAGAGGAGACTTGATACACAAAGTACTTAAGAGGAGAGAGTTCAACTTAGCATCTATGCGAGTCATGTCATTAAGAAATGAATATTAGACACGAGATTGCTTTAAAATGAAACGAATTAACCACACATTAGATGCTGCCTCTATACGCCAAGAACTAAGGGAGAAGGACCCAGAAGTTGTAATTCAAATAAACTGCTGTCACTCAGAGGCTACACAGGGCTACCACGTACCGACTTGTAGACTGGTCCGTAGTCACCTGGGTCGGCCAGAGCCACGCCCACTGCCGCGAGAACCACGCATACCTGTTGAAAATTAGAACTGTTAAGTCAGGGTAGTGTTTATTCTGCGTACCTTTACTCAAAAATCCTCGTCGTCATATTTATGGTGTTCGTATGATAACTTCGTAAGAGACAGCGACAATTTTAATAACGAGTTCGTATTATAGAGGTTGGAGTAACATCAAATTATTCTTAAAAACTAGATGTATTTCGATTACCTCTCACCCCCTCTTCCTTTACCTCAGTGCTCGAAAATGGAATAAATAGTAGAGAGTGCGGCAAAAGTTTCTAATACGGATAAACATCAGCACAGACGATTTGAATCCAGTCAGAAGAGGCTTTCTACAGTTATTACATGGAAACTTTTTTTTTTTTTTTCAATAAAAATTACAAATTGGCATCTACACAGCCCAAAACCAATTTGAATCTTCCACTTAGATACACTAGTTTTTAGAGTTTAAGTTTAAAGCTAACTGGAAAAGGCATTCTCTAGAAATAACAGAGACCAATTTCCAAAATATCAGCACTTAGTTTGAAGCTACTCAGAAAGTGGATTCTCAAGCTATTGGTATGAAAGGTTTGAAGCTGACTAAGGCATTCACAAATAATATTCTGAAAGCCAGTATTTAACTTTTTCAAAATTCTTCAACAAACCTTGCTAATTCGTAACTACATATCCCAAGGTCAGTCTGAAAAATTCTCTAAGATACGCCAGCATTCAGGGGCTGAGGTCGGTCAGAAGAATCCAGTTAAGGCACGGGAAAATGTTATATAATAGAATTAGCTAATTAAAACTTAACCCAAAATCAGTGTGAGCCTTCCGTTTGGGAAATCCACTATTGCTGAAAGTTTGACACTGATCGGAAGATGCATTCTCCAGTTATTACTCGGAATCCAACAGTTCATAGTTTATTGCCTATCTTAGTAAATAGACAGATTCGCATATGCAAATCTGTCTGTTTACCAACATAAGCTGTTCGGAAGATATGGAAAAAATACCTAATAACACTAGCCGTAATTCTCATTATAAAATTATATTTCCAATAACTTCTTTTACTTTGCTAATATTTTAAAACACGTTTCCTGGAGTTGTCACTGACAAATTAAGAGTATTGTGAAGCAGACCTTGAAGATCATTTTTGTGAGCGTTGAAAGTTTCTCTGAGCAGCTGATCGATTGACTGATGGTGGTGTCGAGTTGCTCACCTTATATACACACGATGATGTTGAAACACTCGCTTGAGCCTTGCCAGGGCGCCCTGCTTTCAAATTAAAATTCAAAATTCAAAGTTTATTCTCTATAAGGATTACAATGCTGAGTTTACAGAATTTGGTTATTGTGTGGTTTACATGTAGTAAAATAGTGATTACAGAGTGTACCACTAGAACGCTTAGCATGGCTAGGCATTTCGGGCAGACTTAGTTTTATTCTTAATTGTAAAATATTACAAATTATGAGGTAAGTTGGTATTATGGCTAAGTGACTAAATACTAGTTTGTGAGTTTAGCAATGTGAATGCTTTTGTTTTGGCACAGTACATAGTTTCAGTATTGGAGTATCACAGGATTCATTATTTTAAGATTGAGATTAATATTTCTGTTTATGGTCAAATGAGTCAGTGAGTGTAAGTGTGAACCACCAGGTGGTATTCGTGTAGTTAGTTGACAGGGTGTATCAGGGAGATAAGATGTTTTCTAATGGTAGTTTTGAAGGTGATGAATGTGTCTGCAGTTCTAGAGTTCTCAGGTAGGGTATTCCAGATTTTAGGGCCTTTGACATACATTGAATTTTTGTAAAGGTTTAGTCGGACACGGGGAATGTCGTAGAGATGTTTGTGTCTGGTGTTATGCCTGTGGGTTCTGTCACAACTATCAAGAAAGCGTTTTAGGTCAAGGTTGATATTAGAGTTTAATGCCCTGTAGATGTAGATTGCACAGTAGTAAGTGTGGATGTACTGAACAGGGAGTAAGTTTAGGTCTATGAAGAGTGGGGGGGGGGTGTTTTCCATGGATGGGATTTAGTGATTATTCTTACTGCAGCTTTTTGTTGGGTTATTATTGGCTTTAGGTGTGTTGCTGCAGTTGATCCCCAAGCACAAATAGCATAGGTGAGGTATGGATAAATAAGTGAGTGGTATAGTGTGAGAAGGGCATTTTGCGGCACGTAGTATCGTATCTTGGAGAGGATCCCAACCGTTTTGGATACTTTTTTGGTTATATGCTGGATATGGGTGCTGAAATTCAGGTTGTTGTCAAGGTATAACCTAGGAATTTGCCCCCATTATTTCTGGTAATTAGAGTGTTGTCAATCTTAATGTTAATTTGTGCATCTCCTGCTCTGCTACCAAACATAATATAGTAGGTTTTGTCAGTGTTAAGCGTAAGTTTATTGGCTGTCATCCAAGTCGATATTTTGATCAGCTCCTCATTCACAGTGGTGTTGAGGGTGGCAAGATTAGGGTGAGAGATGACATAAGTCGTGTCGTCAGCAAAGAGAATGGGTTTCAGGTGTTGGGATACGTTTGGAAGGTCATTGATGTATATGAGGAAGAGCAGGGGACCAAGGACACTTCCCTGCGGAACTCCAGTATCAAGTGGTCCGCCACAACCCCCTTCCTCTGTGGTTCCAACTTTTTAGATCCGTGTACTCACCTAATTGTGGTTGCAGGGGTCGAGATTCAGCTCCTGGTCCCGCCTCTTCACTTAACGTTACTAGGTCCTCTCTCCCTGCTCCATGAGCTTTATCATACCTCATCTTAAAACTATGTATAGTTCCTGCTTCCACTACCTCACTTGCTAGACTATTCCACTTCCTGACAACTCTATGACTGAAGCAATACTTTCTAACATCGCTTTGACTCGTTTAAGTCTTCATCTTCCAATTGTGACCCCTTATTTCTGTGTCCCTCTCTGGAACATCCTGTTCTGTCTACCTTATCTATTCCACGCAATATTTTGTATGTCGTTATCATGTCTCCCTAACCCTTCTGTGTATATGGAAAAAAAATATTAAGGAAAGTAACAGAATTGAATTACATTATTTTTTTTTTTTTGAAGATTGAGACACTTATGCAACATATGGGAATCTTTATAAAGGAAATGTTTCGCCACACACTGGCTTCATCAGTCCAATACAAATCAGAAGGGTGTGAGGAGTTTGAGGTAATCAGTCCCTCAGCATACACACGTCTTCAGAGGCACAAGAGAGAAGAACGTTTATTTGTGTATTTCTTGTCATGAGACATTTTTTCCTGACGGGTCCTCGAAGAATTGTCGAGGATGTAGAGGTGGAGATACCGATAATGGTCTTATGGCTAGGTGGTGTCTGGATGCTGGAGAGTTCTTCAGCCAAGAAATTGTACCTACATTTTCTTGGCTCGAGCCTGATTACCTCCTGTCCTCTAGGTGCTGTATGACGCCAACGGGTTTAGTGCTTCCCCATTAAGGTATTGTTTTACTGGGATATTCACTTGAAAAAGTGATCCGCAGACACCTGTGAGCACAGGCAGTCCCATTAAGATGATAATAATTTGGAAATATTTATTTTTCAACATTTCTCTGCTGGTTACATAATTGTGAAGATGAGAAAAATTTATGCATATGATGGAATTTTTAAGAGGCATCAAATTGCTGGGCAGGCCTCAAAAAACTCGGCTGTTATACATTGCAATGCATGTATATAAAGAATTAAATGGCACAATACCGTGACTGGTTAAAGGTCCAAGTCTGACCGAAACATCGTCAAAAGTTTCTTTCTCCAATATGCGAGTTATGTGCATCTAGACAATTATTTTAATATTAACTGGTGTGTACGACATGGCGTGCCATTTAATTATCATATATCTTTGTCTTATCATTTTCTTGAAGTAATAAAATTAGTCAGTAATAACTTTGTATATCTAGTCTTTTATTTGATAATGCCATTTATTAATTATGCATTTTAGTAATTAAAAGTGATGATGGTGCTTTCTGTAAAGGCTTGAAATTTTAAACAAAACAAAATAATGAGAAATATAGAATCTAGTCTTAGTTTTAATATAACGCAGCCTCGTTTTAAAAACATAAGAATGGAGGAACACTACATCTGACCCATAAAAGGTAAATCTATTATTTTTTTTACGTTATTCCGAACGTCTTTTTCTGGAGTTCCTTAAGTTAGAAGAATATATTTGTTTACATTTTAAAATAGGGCAGGTTTCATAGAAACGTATATTTAACCACGAATTAATAAAAGAAAAGGCCGCGACACGCCTGGCAGCGATATGTCTGGGCAAGTCCATGAAATGCTAAAATTTGCACGTGCGTCACTTGCAGTGTGACTCTGGGTTATACAGGATGACCCGCTCAGTGGTAGCAACAACAGTCGTACTGATGCTAGGTTCCACCCAACTCTAAAATATAACAGTGTGTCCTCCCACGTTTGTACATAACAGTTCACTTTTTTTTCCTTTTTATTTTTTTAGAGAGAATTGTATATACAGTTTATTTATGTAAATACCTTTTAGTATTACTTTTATTAGGTTATTTAAACCTTTACCAGCGTATATGTTAATACTTTTTGTTTCTGACAAAGTGGAAGACAATATACAGTAATAATGAAGTTGAGGTTTTAAGTCGTAGAGAGTGAGAACAATGAGAGACAATGGTAGCACTGAGCAGTGTTACTTTTTATCAAGCAAGAACACTGTCACTTCCACTACCACGGTAGTGATGCAAACTTCTTGCCAATCTTACACCATGTAAACTCAAAACATCAATACCATTTCACATTTGAAAATAAATTGCAGTCTCGAGAGATGTGTTTATGGAATGGTTAATGTGCTCTGCTTCACAGTTCTTTGGAAAATACTTTTTTCCTCTCCTTTTCCTCCCACGCTCGCTTCCTTACATCTCTTCTACTCTCTCATGAGAGAGACTCGTTAGTAAGTAAGTAAGTTTATTCAGGTATACACAAATACAGTTACATAGAATTATCATACATAGCAGCAATATAAGTGATTAGGTTATATGCCTGGAATATTCCTCAGTGACTGTGGTTTGGTCAGGTCGGTATCTGAAAAGGCGCGTGAATTCCCCCCGTCTTCTAATAACAGGTTCATTTTCCACTCTAATCTACCTCGTCCATAATTACTATCGCATTTGCTTTGTCTGTTTCGTAAGGTGAAGTCTTTAATTCATGGTATAACTTAACAAATCTTTGATGACAATTGTGTTGCAGAGGTCTGAGCACAGCTCAGACCTCTGCAACATTTTAATGTGTTGACATAAAAGAGTGCTATTCTGTTAGTCATTATGATTTTTTTAAATATTGCAATACTTTAATATGTTGTCATAAACGAGTGCTGTTCTGTTAGTTATTTTTTTTAATATTGCAATAAATTTTTGTATTGATGGTTGGTGTTCATAGTTACACCAAGGAAAAACAAGTGTGGAAAGATCTCACTCGACCTGGTGGTCAAAAATCATACGTGATTGGAGCGTTAGTACCACTCATGACCCCAGGCATTTTCCCCTTTTTTTCCATTTAACAAAGTGTACCTTTCACAATTGCTACACTTTCTCTGGAAGCTCAGTGTACACAGCCCCTAAATTGTTTTTCATGTGTTGAAGAGGCGACTGCGGTGCTAGATATTTGCTCTGACGTTGGAAGTAATTACTGGATTACGTGAGATACGGCGGAAGGAAATTATGTAATTTTGATACGTACTGTTTATTCTACATTTACCGTACAAATGATAAAATCTGGTTCGATATCAGAGTCGTCAGTGGTAGCCTCCGTGTCCGTAGCCCTTGTTGAAGAAAGTGATGGCGGGTCCGTAGTGCTGAGGGTGATGAGCCTTACCGGCATAGCTAACCTTGGCAACGTAACCTCTGTAAGGGTCAGCTGTGTAGTCCACCTGCAGAGAGAATGTTGTTAGCACCTTATTGTAAAAATGCTATAGATAGCTGCCAAAAATTAAGAAAATGGAAGAGACCTTTTTTTCCCCACTAACTTGTAAGATTTGTTAACTACTAGCAGCAATAACAGTACATATAATAACCTTCAAGAAAAATATATGAACGATAAAGTAATGGGTTTTCTTCCAGTAAGTGAAGTTAAAATTGTGAATGAACAAGATGGTGGAACATACCCTTTGTTTGCGACCGTCGGGAAGGTCGACGTAGTAGGATCCGTACACAGATTTACCGTCGGAATTCTCGTGTTGACCGAAGTTGGTGCCCTTGTAGCTGTCTTGTACACTATAGTCGAAGTTATATGGCAGCGGCTCCTGGTGGTAGAAAATATTATGATTTTACCGAGAATCTTCGTGGTGTATTTTTTTTTATTTTTTAACAATACAGGCTGACCTTGAGAGAGAGACATGCACTCAGACCTGGGAATACGCACTCATACACGCATGCTTGGGTATGAGCTTACAACCCTGTTGAACAGATGAACCAGAGGGAGACATGATGGCAACATACAAAGTACTAGAAAAGATTGGGCAATGGCACAAGCTGTTTAGGGCGGGAAAACGTTATTCTGGATGCAACTGGGGAATTTAAGGCGAAAATGAGTCGCAGAAAAATCAGGAGTATTTCTTCAGTCTCTGGGTGGTCGTGAATTGGAATAACCTCAACGAAGTGGTGGAGGCAAATTGCAACTACAAATAGGTGAGTACGTACACACACACACACACACGCACACATACATACATACATACATACATACATACATACATACATACATACATACATATTCCATACACATCTGTGGAGAACACACTCACGTACCGACTTGTAGACTGGTGCATAGTCACCTGGGTCGGCCATAGCCACACCCACCACCACCAAGACGACACACACCTGGAAAATATAAACTTTACTTAGGCAGTGAGGTGATTATTTGTTAATATATTAGCCAAGAATGGTAATATTCATAGATCAGGCTCAGAAGCAATAGTGCTAAATTGGGTAGTGAATTTTGTGATTATCCTCCATTTTCTCTAGTTCCGCTGATGACTTCGAATGATAAATTTAATTAACAGTCCGATACTAAAAAAAAGGTATTAATAATAGTTGTATTCTACTTTTAATTGAAACAACTCGCATTTTTTATGTGAATAATTGACATGCATTCGCTGTAGTAGTAAATTGTTAGTTAACACTTGTGAAGCAGACCTTGTGGAGCATGTCTGAGGGATGTAAGTATGATACACAGGAGTTACTGGTAGACTGATTGTAATGGTGAGCTGCTCACTTTATATACCTGATGATGCTGACGTTCTCAGCTGACCTTGGACGACCCCTCCCAGATCTTCAAGGCCATATCCTCCCTTGTCTTACTCTCTCCCTCCTGCCCCCTCTCATCTCCACCCTCCACTCAGGAGCTCCACTCTCCACACAGTACAAACCTCTATACAAAAAAAAAAATCATATAGTACTTTGGCACTTAATGCATTTATGAAGGCTACGTAAATAAAAATCAGTTCAACTAAAATGAATAGAAAGCTAAAGGTGGATACCAGTAACAGTTTCATTTTTTTCAAGAATCAATTCTTAGATATCTGCTTTTCCTGATGTAAATGGCCTGCCAAAGGAAATTGAATCCTAATCGTCAGTGTTTGCGGTGATGTTGATCAGCATCTATGGAAGAGGACAAGGAGAGGCTTCAAGATTACATGGATTGGTTGCAAAAGTGGTTAGAAAAAGTGGTAATTTTAATTAAATCCCATTAAGTGCGCAGCTATGAGAACAAATGAGTGAACGAAAACACACGACACGCAATACAGCCTTGGAGGTGAGATACCGAGCATAACGTACGAACAGAGAAAGATTTGGGGTAGGTATCATATTTTATTCATCAGGTGTACATACCGACCTTATAACGTCAGCAGTGTTTAACTAAGAATCGCTTTCAAGACTCGAAAGAATAATTTTGGTTATTATACATAAGCGGCTCCTGCGTGGGGTTTTTATTTAATCATTTATGTATATATACCAGTGGTGACAACATTGTTTGTTATCAATAATTTAGATCCGAATGTACTTAAATCCTTAAATACAAAAATAAAGAAAATAACCGACCCTTTGGGGCTCTGGTGGCCTGGTGGTTAACGCTCTCGCTTCACACGGTGAGGGCCTGGGTTCGATTCCCAGCCAGAGTAGAAACATTGGACGTGTTTCTTTCCACCTGTTGTCTATGTTCCCCATCAGTAAAATGGGTACCTGGGTGTTAGTCGACTGGTGTGGGTCGCATCCTGGGACACTGACCTAAGGAGGCCTGGTCACAGACCGGGCCGCGGGGGCGTTGACCCCCGGAACTCTCTCCAGATAAACTCCAGATAAACTAGTCGCTATCAAAGACTGTTAACGGCAGGCCAATTTTAAACAGGGAAACTCTTGACAATACTTTTTATCAGGTCCCTTGAAACAGGGACTGTTGTGAATTTCAACTGGTATGCACGCCCGTCCTAGGATTTTTATTTATTATGTATACTCCTCTCTAATGGGTTTGTTGACGAAGTAAAGTGACAAGGTCACTTAAAAAGCTGTGTTGCTATTTAGTATTGTTTTGTTGAAACATCAGTTTCTGTTATACAAAATTTAATAAAAGGAACCCATTATGACTGGAAAATGTTTAATAATAATGAATTAAGGTTTCGTATTGATGACTTGAAGAGTGAGAACAATGCGAGTGAGAATGGTATAGCTTGGCAATGTTACTTATATCAGTAAATACATAACACTGTTTCTTATACAACCTTGATAATGATGCAAACTTCTTCAGTATTGCCTTACTCCAGGTAGACTCTCAACTTTAGTATAATTTCCTGTTTGAAAAAATCTGTCGTATTGACCAGTGTTTTTGCGGCTTTTCTTGATGTGCACTCTTAATACGTGTTTGTAAACAGCGTTGATTATTATCCTTCCTTGTCCTTTCATTTTGTTGCTTCTCTCGCTCCTCTCTCAGTTCACTTCTTTTTTTTTATTCTGATGACTCAAAAGAAAGTGGCTGTACAAAGGATATAGAATAGATACACTAGACTACTCAGTGACTGGGTTGGTTGTGGCCAGTTGGGTATTTTGCCTTTCCTCTTGTTGCTACTCCTCTTAAATTGAAAGATAAGAACATAAGAAAGGAGGAACACTGCAAGAGGCCTGCTGGCCCATACTAGGCAGGTCCTTTACAATTCATCCCATTAACAAAACATTTGCCCAACCCAATTTTCAATGCCACCCAAGAAATAAGCTCTGATGTGAAAGTCCCACTCAAATCCAACCCCTCCCACTCATGTACTTATCCAACCTAGATTTGAAACTACCCAAAGTCCTAGCCTCAATAACCCAACTAGGTAGACTGTTCCACTCATCAACTACCCTATTTCCAAACCAATACTTTCCTATGTCCTTTCTAAATCTAAACTTATCTAATTTAAATCCATTACTGCGGGTTCTCTCTTGGAGAGACATCCTCAAGACCTTATTAATATCCCCTTTATTAATACCTATCTTCCACTTATACACTTCGATCAGGTCTCCCCTCATTCTTCGTCTAACAAGTGAATGTAACTTAAGAGTCTTCAATCTTTCTTCATAAGGAAGATTTCTAATGCTATGTATTAATTTAGTCATCCTACGCTGAATGTTTTCTAACGAATTTATGTCCATTTTGTAATACGGAGACCAGAACTGAGCTGCATAATCTAGGTGAGGCCTTACTAATGATGTATAAAGCTGCAGTATGACCTCTGGACTTCTGTTGCTTACACTTCTTGATATAAATCCCAGTAATCTATTTGCCTTATTACGTACGCTTAGGCATTGCTGTCTTGGTTTAAGGTTGCTGCTCACCATAATCCCCAAGTCCTTTTCGCAATCTGTATGGCTAAGTTCTACATCATTTAACTTATAAGTACTAGGGGTTATGGGCACTCCCAAGCTTCAGAACCTTGCATTTATCTACATTGAACTGCATCTGCCACTTTTCTGACCAAGAATAGAGTTTGTTTAAATCCTCCTGAAGTTCCATAACATCTACGTTTGAATCAATTATCCTACCTATCTTTGTGTCATCGGCGAATTTGCTCATATCACTAGTAATTCCCTCATCAAGATCATTGATATATATTATAAACAACAACGGGCCCAAGACTGATCCCTGTGGAACGCCACTTGTTACAGATCCCCACTCGGATTTAACCCCATTTATGGACACTCTCTGCTTCTTGTCAGTGAGCCATGACTCGATCCACGAGAGCACTTTTCCCCCAATGCCATGAGCTGCCACTTTCTTTAACAGTCTATGGTGCGGAACTCTATCAAAAGCCTTACTAAAATCTAAGTAAATAATATCAAATTCTTTATTGTGGTCAACAGCCTCAAAGCTTTACTGAAGAAAATTAATAAATTAGTTAGACAAGACCGGCCTCTTGTGAATCCATGCTGAGTATCATTAATCAAGCTATGCTTATCGAGATGGCTTCTTATAATCTCAGCTATAATTGACTCTAGTAATTTGCCTACAATTGAGGTCAGGCTTATTGGGCGGTAATTTGACGGTAACGACTTGTCCCCTGTTTTAAAAATAGGAATTACATTAGCCATCTTCCACATATCAGACACTACACCTGTTTGAAGAGATAAATTAAAAATATTAGTTAATGGTTCACAGAGTTCCATTTTGCATTCCTTAAGAACCCTTGAAAAAACCTCATCAGGACCCGGCGACTTATTTTGCTTCAGTCTGTTCTGTGTTTTCGTACTGTTGGTGTGTGTCATTGTTCATGCATTGTTACTTCAACCGCTGTAGTGTATTTGAAAATACTAAACTTTACCTTACAAATTAATCTTATTTTCGTTAATAGTACATTTCCACAAATTACTCTTAAAAATGCGTACATATCTACCACTGTATTAGAGTTCATGTATTGAAACTGAGTTGTGAGGACCTTCCTCGCATATACCAGAGCCTACAGCAGTGTTCAGCACCCAGGCGCTTACATTGTTGTAAGCTAATTCGTATATACAGTACTTTGTGGGTAAATATTGCTGTATTCTATATATATCATGTTAATGTGTCGACATACTATAACGTTAATTTAATTGTAATTTCTAACACGGTTGTAGTAAGTTAATATATTCGTTTTCAAGGTTCGTAAATAAAGCCAGTCGTGGTCGCAAATTCACCACCAGCCTTACTCATCAAAACCACATCAGATCTGCCTAACCCCCCACATTGTCCTCGTTTTCCTCCTACAAAGTGCACCTCTAACAATAGACATAGTTTTCTACAAGTTCTATTTAAGCGACTCCTGAAGTGTTTTTCACGAGTAGAAGAGGATGCAGTGTACATCCTGGCTGTGACAATGACAGCGATCACTCTTGGATGACGTGAGGTGCAGCGGAGGGAAATCATACATTGTTTGATACTAATGATTTATTCCACATTTACCCTATAAAATATTTAATCTGGTTCGATATCAGAGTCGTCAGTGGTAGCCTCCGTGTCCGTAGCCCTTGTTGAAGAAGGTGATGGCGGGTCCGTAATGCTGAGGGTGATGAGCCTTACCGGCATAGCTGACCTTGGCAACGTAACCTCTGTAAGGGTCAGCTGTGTAGTCCACCTGCAGAGAGAAAACAACACTGTTACTACTTAACGCAAAAAAAAAAAATGTTAACTCAAGAAATAGAGGTCCTAGAAAGTGTCAGTGGGGATTTTTAAGAATTCTCTAGACCTAACATACGAAACTTAAGATATATGCAACATACGATTTTTAACAATATGATAAGTTTAAAATTGGGAATGAACAGAGTGGAGCATACCCTTTGTTTGCGACCGTCGGGGAGGTCGACGTAGTAGGATCCGTACACAGCTTTACCGTCGGAATTTTCGTGCTGACCGAAGTTGGTGCCCTTGTAGCTGTCTTGTACACTGTAGTCGAAGTTATAGGGCAGCGGCTCCTGGTGGTAGAAAACATTAGCCAAACTCGTTTATTTGATGGACCGTTAATTTTCGTGAGACATTTATTTGTAATGTTGGTAACAGTAATACAAGCTGACCTTCACAGCAACACGCACACATTGCCATTCACACACGTGATAGTAAACGGTTACAATGTCAGAAATTTCATTCACCGTGCTTGCAAAACACACTCACGTACCGACTTGTAGACTGGTCCATAGTCACCTGGCTCGCCCATAGCCACGCCCACCACCACCACCAGGACCAAACACACCTGCGAGGGTAAGAACAGCTTAGTCACAATGGGGATATTGCAAAACAAACCACATGGGGATGGAAAGCATGAGCTAAGGATTTCCATCCCGTTGTGGCTTGTTCTTCATTGTTAAGATCGCCTTTGTGCGATATTATTGCAATGGGGTTTTTGTATAGAGGTTACTCTATACACCTTTAGTCATGAAGTGTAATGTTTATATCTCAAGATCGGAAGAGATAGTGCTAAATTAGTGTGCTTTGTGACTATCTTTTGGTGTGTCTGGTATCGAATTATGAATTGGATTATCAGTTTGATATTAAAAAAAATATTAGCGATTATATTCTTCTCATAAGTAACTTGTAATTTGTGCGAATAGTTGACAAATATTCACAGTAACAGTCGATTATTAGTTAACACTTGTAAAACAGACCTTGTAGAACATGTCTGGGGGAGTTACTGGTCGACTGACTCTAGTGGCGAGCTGCTCACCTTATATACCTGATGATGCTGACGCTCTTGGGTGACCCCTGGACGACCCCTCTTAGCTCTTCAGGGCCGTTCTCCCCCTTCTCTTCCCTCCCATCTCCCTTCCCCTTCTCAGCCCCCTTATCCTTATCCACAATTAGTTCATTATGGTCGGTGTTCGTTTCGTTTTTGATCTAAGATTTTAATATTCTCAGGTATTGTTATTTTTACTTGAGGAAGTTAGATAAATAATTACAGAATTCAACTAAAAAAAGAAAACAAGTAAAAAGATATACCAGAGGAGAGGGTAATAGTAAGAAAAGAGGAATTGGAGTGGGTACGGGTGGTGAATAAAATCCTAAAAGAATTGGTTCTTTGAGTCTTTCTTTTCCTGATATACATAAATGATTTATCATAGTTCATCGAATCCTAATTGTCAGTGTTTGCGAATAATGTTCAGATGAGGAAGAGGGCAGGGAGAATATTCCAGTTTACTTGCATGTTTGTAGACGTAAAGAAAGTGGCTATTAGATATAAATCCCGATAAGTGCAAGGAAATGAGAACAAGACCTGACACGGAGCAGCTTTAATACGCACCTTCCTATCCAGACTGTGCCTCAAAGGCGGCTTGTTTGAAAATTAGAAAGACAGAATGTGATATCCGGAAGGCTAGTCCGGCGGATTAACCTGCTTGAAGATATCCTGAAAAACATGTTCTGATAGGAATTAATTAATTAGTAGACTTCCTCAAGGATCAGTACTTGGATCTACACTGTCCCTGATATACGTGAAGAACCTAACTGGAGAGGTAGATTAATTAATTTCATGGTTGCAGATGAAAAACTGACGAAAAGAAAATATGTAAATTAAATAGAGTATAAAAACAAGCGTAATGGTCCAGCAAATGACTTTTATATTTGGAAATTAATAAGTACAAAGTGATAAGGAAATGCGAATTATTACAAAGTTTTCATGTCACTCGTAAACAGTCATTTATATCCACCGTAGACCGTTAAGCAACTAAATAAAACATTGATTCAGTTAAAAAAATAGCTAAGCTCTAAAAATTATAATTGTGATAGAGCAGAATATATATTGTTACAGAGAAGAGCAATTAAGTTTTATCATCTTGGTAAACATAATTATGAGCCACTGCTGAAAACAGCTAAGAAAATACTTAAATGTTTTATAGTTGACAAATGTAAGAGTTCACTCTGCTGGTCTCGTTGTTAGGGAAAACTGCGTCTTATGATGAAGCTGAAATGGCGGGGATTTTAAGTTAATTTTTGCTTCTGTATTTACTGTAGAGAACCTGAATAATATTTCTGCACTGTCTGCGTTACTTGTCACTGAAGAAAACATTCTTCAAATTATTAACAATTAAGATTCGGACGTACAGCGTTAATAACAATTATAAATAAAGCTTCTAACCCCCTAACAAACAATCCAAGACTGTTAAAGTAGGCCAAGATGAAACAGTGAAACTTGTTTATTATACACTTGAATGTTGGGCTGTAACCCGTGAATGTTTTTTAATATCCCGATGGTGCCAGGTATGTATCTGTTTTTCATGCAAGAATATTCAAGGTCATTTAATTGAATCGGCCAGTGTTTTCACATCAGAGTTACATTCAATTGTCACTGCCATCATACACGGTGCGATCATTCCCACCTCATCTGTAACTTTTTTCGCACTCCAGAAGTAGTGATAACTTCACTTACGAGGTGTGCATCTGTTTAGCTTCTGTTCATTATATTGTGTTGTTTACCTGGACAGTATTGGTACAGCAAAACTTTTTAATAGTTGTAAATACAGTTTATTAAAAATATTTTTAAATTTTATTTCCACTCAAAAAATATTAGATTATCAGCTTATCTCTTAGAGCATTCAACAGTCACACTCTCATGATAGTGATGCAACCTCTCTCTCTCTCTCTCTCTCTCTCTCTCTCTCTCTCTCTCTCTCTCTCTCTCTCTCTCTCTCTCTCTCTCTGCCACACAGGGTTTGACAAGGTTAAGTTAAGGATCCCTAGCTTTATTGACAAGCTATTTACAAGTTAAGGATTCCTAACTTTATTGACAAGCTAAGAGCTGTTACCTACATCAGCTCACTTGAAAGCATTTTTATTGTTATGAAACATACAGGTAGGGAACAGGATGAAGTTGGAGCCATATGTGAGCCAGCATTTTCATTTGATCAACTGATTTTATCTCGTTGACATCATAATACTGTACGAATGTGTTCCAGACTCGAGTCATCCTGGGAATAAATGATTTCAGATGAAGTGATGTTCTGGAGAAGGGTACAGCCAGAGTGAAGTTGCTGCTTTCTGCCCGTCTTGTGGTATAAAAGCTTGCTTCTCGCTGTCCTCGAAGTGGAGCCAAGTGTGGTACTTTGACAATGTTGGCCTTGTACATTCTGTCTCTCTCTCTCTCTTACCTTACCCCAGGTAAACTCTTAAGTTTAGTATCATTTCATGTTTAAAAAATCCATAGTATTGAAGTGTTTCTATGACTTATTTACAGTACACTTAAACCATCTGGGTATATTATTTTTTAATCATCATCCATTGTTTTCTACTTTGCTTGTTCCCTCCCTCCATTACATGACTAAGAGGTCTGACTCCCCCAAGGTAGAGACCAAACAGAGTACATAAGTGTCTCTAGAATAGCTGATTAGATTGATTCCTCAGTGAATGACTGGGATGGGTGAGACCTGGTGGGTGTCTTGCGAACTAAAGACTTGACTGGTATTTGCGCTGTCTTTCTTCTTGTTGCTACTCTTCTTCGTAGCCTCGGCGATAACATGATTTACGCTATTAATGTGTGTGTCAGTTTGTTTTAAATATTGTTTCACCAGCTGTAGAGTGTGACTTTATGTAGCAAATTAATTAAGCTTTCGTTAAGAATAAAACTTAACAAATTTCGCTGAAATGCGAATACTGAGTGTATTAAAAAGATGGACCCAGTTTCAATATATACTGCTTTGAAATTGGGTCCATCCATTTTGAAAGTATATCTCCCAGTGCAGTTATGATAGATTTCATATAATAAACTTTACATTGTAAGGCCCTTTCCCACCTGCGACTATGTTCACTTCCGAGGCCAGGCTAGTTCCTGTTCCGCAGGGCTGTGGTGCACACGTTGGACTGTGTGAGGCTAGCACCAACAGTCTGGCGATCAGAAGATAGGAGGGAAGGGATGACGCACTAAACCGTTTCCAGGTAAATTCTAGGTAGGTTCTTATGTCGTAGGCTAACGTAGATATAATGTAGCGAATGTTAATTTGTAATTGAATATTGATTTTTTCTCATTTTAACATCAAAATATGCGAAAAATAATAGAGCATTACTCTACTACTAACTTAATGTATATCCCACACGATTTTAATAAGTTAATGTATCGGTGTTGACGGTTCATAAATAAAGCCTGTCGTAGTGACAAAGGCGACTACTTGGTGGTCAAGGTCACACATGATCTGATACTCGAGAATATTCCACGCCAGCACCCATTCCCCTCTTTCTGTTTTTCCCTTTTACGAAATGTACGTCTCACAGTGGAGACAACTTTTCTACAAGTTCTATTTAAGCGACGCCTGAAGTGTTTTTCACGAGCAGAAGAGGATGACCTGAGGGGCAGCTGAGGGAAATTATACATTGTTTGATACTTATGATTTATTTCACATTTACCCTATAAAATATTTGACCTGGTTCGATATCATAGTTCTCAATGGTAACCTCCGTGTCCGTAGCCCTTGTTGAAGAAGGTGATGGCGGGTCCGTAGTGCTGAGGGTGATGAGCCTTGCCAGCGTAGCTGACCTTGGCAACGTAACCTCTGTAAGGGTCAGCTGTGTAGTCCACCTAGAAAGGCAGAATATTGTTAGCACCTTATTGTAAAAAATACTATAGTTAACGGCCAGAAATTAAAAAAAATGGAAGTAGGGTATTTTTTCCTCACTATTAAGATTTGTTGACTTCTAACAGCAACAACAGAGCATATAATAACCTTCAAGAACAATATATGTACGATAAAGTAGCAATACAATTTAATATTCCTGTAAATATGATATTTTTTCCAATAGGTGAAGTTTAAAATTGTGATGGTAGATGGTAGAAAATACCCTTTGTTTGCGACCGTCGGGAAGGTCGACGTAGTAGGATCCGTATACAGATTTACCGTCGGAATTCTCGTGTTGACCGAAGTTGGTGCCCTTGTAGCTGTCTTGTACACTGTAGTCGAAGTTATAGGGCAGCGGCTCCTGGTGGTAGAAAATATTATGTAGACACTTTTGTAGATGTACTGCGAATTTTCAGAACGTGTTTTTTTTTTTCAATCTTAGTACAATTACGACACTACATTCATACACATTAAAGTAAACGCCACAGTGTCAGAAATTTCCTACACAGTTCTCTCAGAACACGTACCGACTTGTAGACAGGTCCGTAGTCACCTGGGTCAGCCATAGCCACACCCACCACAACCAAGACCAAACACACCTGGGAAAATAGTCCTCATCAGCAACAGTGTTTGGGATTCTATAAAATAGTGAGTTACTCAAGAATACTTCATCCGTCTATTTATCAAGATCAGAAAAGACAGTACTACGCTGGGTAGCGAATTTTGTGATTATCGTTAGTTAGATCTGTTTTCATTAATTAAATTGAATGATGAATTGAATTATCAGTCCGATATTGAAAAAAAGTTTGATTATATTCTGCTTAGAATTAAAGAAACTCCTAATTATGTGAATAGTTGACATATATTCAGTGTGGTAGTCAAATTATTAACACTTGTGAAGCAGACCTTGTAGAGCATGTCTGAGGGAGCGTGTAAGGATGATACACAAGAGTTACTGGTCGACTGACTGTAGTGGTGAGTTGCTCACCTTATATACCTGATGATGCTGACGTTCTCAGGTGACCCTGGACGACCCCTCCCAGATCATCAAGGCCATCATCTCTCCCCCCCCCCCCCCTACACCACCCCTCCCCCCCTCCCCCATCATACTTTCGCCCACCATCCCTCCTATTAACCCCCTCCCAATCTCACCCACCCAACAAAAAGCATACTCCCTGTCATTAAACAAAGCAAAAATTGTTTTAGTACGTAATTGAAACTACGTGTTTTCCGTTGCATTCCATTTACCCAAGATTTTTATATTAGATATTGCTGGTGTATCCACGAGAGGTGAATACATAGTGTGAATAAAAGGACACATTTCCTGTTCCTAGGTAACAGAAGGCCTGGGGTAATATTATTAAAGGAAATAACGGATTGTGGACGAATGGAGTCGTCCAAGAATCAGTTCTTCGACTCGTACCGTTTCCGAACTACATGAAAAATGGACCAGAGAAATTTATATCCTACTTTACTGTTTGCTAATAATTTTATACCACTGCAGAAGAGGGAAAGTAGAGGCTCCAAGATTACATTCGTAGAATGTTATGTCAACAATATTGACAATAGAGCAATGAAAGAGGAGACCTGAAACGGAACAAAGCCTTGGAAGTGAGATACATCAGGTAACATGCAAGGAGAAATATCCTGAGTAAGCATTGTACTTTGTCTTATGAGACTGTAAATATCAGCCTTATAACATCTGCTGCGCCATAAGCTAAACTAGTCAAGCTGAAAAGTGCTTTCAAGAATCCAACAAAAGAATTATTTAAGCCTACCTTAGTCCACATCTCATCTGTAGAATCCATAGATGATCCCAAGTTTCACAACAGTACTGGTACCAGAACTAAGAGGGGTCGACAATGAAGACAGAGACAGACAGTATATGAGATACAAGGAGTCGCGGAGGGATGGCAGCTAAAGACGCATTTGTGCCACAGGGATTTAAGAAATAGTTTCAGTCCCTAAGTGGTAAATGAAAATGACTAGATGAAGTGTTGAGAAGTAAATACAATGGTAAATAAAAGCAAAAAATGTAGCATAATATTATCCTAAATTAACGAAGTTTCGCCCACGCCGTGGGCTTCATCATATTGAATATGATAATGATTATACAGTACTGACAAGTCTTCCAGGGTAGACCGATTACATCTTTACATCTCTACTGCCTCTTCTGCTTCCTTTGTATACGAGTGAAGAAGCCTATTGTGTAGGCGAAACGTTTCGGAATAAAGATACCTAACTGTTGCAGTTATGTCTTAAATTTATCATGTTGCAAACTTGTTTGACTCGATACAGCCCACTCTGTGGTCAAAATATGGTCAATAAAAGATCGCATGTTACTGCATATATGTCTCTTTTATCGTTTCGGTATTTTATATCATTGTCTCCACGGAAACGAACACAATTCATATATTCAAGAGTGCGTAAGCTGAGGTCCTGGAGGCCTGAAGTCAGTAGTGCTGGTCGTTAGTAGTTAAGAAAGTTTAAAAAAATTGACTAAATCCCTGCAAAGAACGATATAGATGTACATTAATATGATCATGGGGCAGAGCTAAACCCGTAGGGATTATACAGTCCCTGTGGGGAGGGGAAATTGGGAGGTATTCAGGCTCAGTTCAGGAAACTGGAACACAGATCAAATTCTCTAGATCAAGAACCCCTCACCAGCGTCAAGGAACCTCCCTTGAGGGTATATAGATGTAGACACTAGTTTTATTATTGGCGGGGAAACTTAAGTAAAATTGAGGGTGGCATTACTGCATCTTCCTTACTCTTACGTCATTAACACGGCGCCTCACAGGCAGCTTGTTGGAAAAGTGGATAAGCAGAGTATGATATCCGCAAGGTTACTCCAGTGAATAAAGGAGTACTGTACCTGCAAGCAGATGAACACAGTGAAAGACAGTGTAATGATAAGTAACAGTTCTTCAAGGATTAATGCTTGAACCCATACTGTTCTGGATATACGTGAACGACTTAACTAAAGCGATAGGCTTCTTTAGTATCGATGTTTGCAGAGGAGAAACTATGTGGAAAATAAGAATTAAATTGATTGTAACAGCTGCAAGATCCAACAAGTGGCTACTCGAGTTGTCTCAATAAATTCAAAAAATGGAATATTCAAACAGCCTGAGGCTCTGGGTCCCCATATTTGCACCTGGAGGAGGACCCCGTCTATAATTCCTTACAAGTGAGGAATCACGTGACCTCATTGTCTACCTAACCTCATCTCAAAAAGTTCATTTTTTCAGGTCACTGTTTGACATACCTCACTTAGAGCCTCTAGATACTTTGGTAGAAGTTATCAATGTCCTAGTGTTTGCTCAGTTTGTTGGTATCATTTACCAAGGTTTATGGCAAGTTTTTTGTGCCCCTATTAAAAATAAGACCAAATGTATTTTACGATAAATAGTGTCAGTCAGATAAAAAGTTAATTAACATAAAAGAGGCTCAAGTCTCTTAGATTAAAAAATTTAACGAGTTTAAAAGAGCATATTTTGTTCCGGAGAATTTGCGATGCAGAGACGTTGCCTTCCTGGTAAACATGATTGTATTATTGCCCAAGACTGCAAAGAAGAGCTCTCTTCGTACGGATTTTTTGTTGATCTGATTGTTGAAGAAAACTGCGTCTTATGATGAAGATGAAATGTCTCCTAGATTTTATTCTGCAATTTAAATTTTGCTTTTATGTTTAGAAAATTTGACTCGTATCCCAGTACCAAGAGCATTACTTGTCAGGGATGAAAACATTTGTTTTTTAAATGAACGTTTGTGATCCGGATGTAAATACAACATTAAACACGAAGATAAATAAAGGACTTGGCTCTTACGAACATGTTTCATCCACGATCATTACAGGTAGGCCAGGATGAAATAGGAAAGAACCTTTGACTATAACTTTTTTGACGGACGCTTTGAAAGAAATGCCACTTGACTAACTGGTGTGACAATCTTTTTTTTTATTTAATTATGTCTTATGAGTCTGGTAAGTTTAATGTTGTAAAAGTTTACTTTTTTATTTAACGACTTCTTCATACCCATCTTGGCGTATTTCTGCTTTTACACCCAGGTAATTATATTATTTGTATATTAATATATTTAGTTTTTTATATATAAAATTCTAAATATTTGTAATACGTTATATTTAATATTTTTAATTAATATATTTATAACGTTAATTATATTTTTATTTATGAAAATTTAGTCCTCTATCATTATTATTATATATATGAGTATTAATAATAAATAAATAACTATAATGGATATACTAAAATATTAATTGTTGAAGATATGAATTTGCAAAAGAAAATGGGTAATTGGCTCATTTATTCAATCCTTTCAAAATTTCATACGAAAGATTATTTTTTTCATAATGTGAATTGAAAAAAATCTTCTTGCTCACAAACTTAAACATGGATAACTCGCGTTCATTATAATCATTGAAAATATTTAACTCCCAAAGTCGACAGGTTTTTAATTGTTTATTGATTGTAATCTTAATCGATCTTGGTTAATATATTTTTTTAATCATCTTTACTAGAGGGTTCTAGAATATTTAATATTGATATCCTCAGTTGTCCTGCTAGGGAAGTGAGGTTCGGCGGGTATCTCCATGCAGAGCTGGTTGCTGTCATAGTTCGGTCTTTTAAAAATTATTGTGTCATGGAGCTAGAGTGTATGCGGCAAATATAGTACTTTGTAGCATTTTAACTTGATTTTGTTTAATTAAAATTTTACGAACTTTATTAAAAAATCCGTACAATGTTTTATTGTAGTGTTAATTTCATGTTATTAATTTTAGTTATTATTAGACTCTGGCATGACAATGGGGCCTACGGCAGTACTTATTAATTAGGGTGGAATTTTTATAAGTTAAGTAGATTAACTTAAAAAAGGTCACCCTCCAGATAATATATATCCATATTTTATTGTACATGAATTTGCTGAGGTGAAATAATATTTGATATGTTGTGACTCTTCTCGTTTGCTGTACGATAATTTTCGCGTTTATTATATAGTTAAATTATATTTAAGATAAATACTGTATTAAAAATTCAAAATTATTGATATACTTATCATTGTCATTTTTCGCAAAATATCATAAGAGATTTTCCCCAAAGGGCGTTTTGGGAGAGACTGAAAATATTTTTCATAGTTGAGGATACATCTGTGCGTATGTTAGACTTGACAGCGACGGTAATTGGTGTTGGATTAAACTAGTTTGCGGCTGATAAGATTGTATAATATTTGATATATGATTTATTAACATATAGCTTTACAAAATAAAAAATATGTTCGATATTATAAATCCTAGTGGTATCCTCCGTGTCATCGTACCTTTGTTGAAAAAAGGTGATGGCGGGGCCGTATTGCTGAGGGTGAACTATATATATGCGTATAGTACTAACCTTGGCACGTAATCTCTCTGTGAATGGGTCAGCTGTGTAGTCCCCGCAGAAGAAACTATTGTTAACACTTTCGCAAAATAGATGATGAATCTATATTAACTCGATCGATAACGGCTAAGAAGTATCAACAAATATAAAGCATTACTTTTATTTATAATTGCATAATTCTAAACGACAAAATCTATGAAGGTTGTATATAAGATATCTATATAAGTAATAAGTAAATATAAAAGATAATATTTTTTCTAAAAAACGTATTATATTCCAAAGGGGTTTGGAATATACAAACATGATAGTAGAATCATACACTGTTTGCGACCGTCGGAGGTTGAATAAGTAAATAAACTATACATATATTATATATTATCTTAGATCAGAGTTCTCATGCTGGCACAAGTTGGTGACCCTGTAGCCGTCTTGCACACTATGTAGTTGTAGGGCAGAGGCTCCTATGATGAAAACAATCAAATATATTTATTTTTAAAGCGATTTTCCAATACATTTTTATATATTAAGTAGATAATGAAATATAACCTCTATAAATATACA